GTTTTTGCAGCGTTGAGCAATGTAACCAATCACAGACAGATCTGTTGATTTCTTAAACGCAATGGCCAATCAGAAACGTATTGTCACAATTCACTCACTGCTGAAAGCGCCACAGTTTTGCACTCTCATGAATCATCTCCTGACTAAGTGCAGACGCGATTTAAATAAGAGATTCATTGTGCAGTTTAGAGAGCTTCATTGATTATAACGGAACTTTGTAAGATCGCGATGAACAAAGATGAGTGACGTTTTTTAGTGATAAAGGGAGCGAGCTTTGCGCACTTTCTAGGGTATCCATTCAGAATTTGTATGAAAGTTTCGTTTTTCGGACACATAGGCTACACCCTGCAAAGTTTCGGGAATGACATCCGCATATTTATGCGGGATTCACTCTCGAAATAGCAGTGATTGGCAATGGACGGAACATAGAATATGTTGATTTAATTCTGGAACCGGTGTAGTGCCGAAATGTGCACCCTGCCAAATTATGCACCCCCTAGTATTGGTAGGTTTAGGAACACCGGTCCTGGCCAAACCTCCACAGACAGCGCGCGTCCCGAGCGAGATCTAGCCTAATTCACGGACCAAAAGCGTGTGTAAACTTTGTTGAGATTGGAACATATCAACCAGTAATTTAATTTAATTTCCAGTAACGGACAGTAGAAAGTTCAACAATGAATGGTATGCGATTTATGACAGAATATAGTCCCACAACTGATCATTTATTTTTTCCTCACGTGTCTCGCCTTTGGTAACAACGATTCAAAACGGAAACATTTCAAGTAACACGGGAAAAAGACACGGAAAACTTCAGTGAACATCAGAAAATCAGCGTGCACATTTCTGGTTAAAAATGAAAGGCCATCAACTGACAAAAGGGAAGCATCACCATTTAAGTCAACAGGAAGAGCCAAAGCTATTCCACAGTTTACTAAACGGTGGCAACCTCTTTAAATTATTCTTGTTATTGTTTTGATGCTTACATCCGAGAAAAAGAAAAAAAAAGTGTTTTATTTATTTAATTCATTTTATATATATATATATATGTGTGTGTGTATTAATTATTTTTTTTTTTTTCTTGTCAGAGGAGAACTGGCCCCCCGACTGAGCCTGGTTTCTCCCAAGGTTTTTTCTCCATTCTGTCACTTATTTATATTCTATGCTTTAGTTTTGTCGCCTCTGGCTTGCTTAGTTGGGGACACTTCATTTCCAGCGTTATCGTTGACATGATTGCAAAGATATTATTTAAACTGAGCTGGATGTTGACATCACTGAATTCAATGATGAACTGTCTTTAACTGAAAAATTAGTGTTTACTATTGTCATTTTGCATTATTGACACTATTTTCCTAATTAATGCTGTTCAGTTGCTTTGTCACAATCTGTATTGTTAAAAGCGCTATATAAATAAAGGTGACTTGACTTGACTTGACTTTAGTTTTAGATACTTACCCCTCTTATGGGACATTCACTTTAAAATGTTTTATTTCTAGGGATTTCCTTGATTATGTAAACCGTTTTTAGATGTTGTTTTTAAATGCCACTCAACATTTCTCTTAGTAAATGAATGAGAAACCTAGATAGTTGTGTTTGACATTTTCTTTGTTGATAAAATAAATCTTATTTGGAGTCTGTTTTTTGCAACAAAACTGCATCTTCCAAATTTCTATAGCTAAATATTAGTGTATTTTACTTGATTTTGTCATTTACATGCTAAGAGTATGAATGAAGTAACATGTTTTGTAATCTTTCAGAAAAAATCGTGTAAACAGGCGATTGATAAATTTGAAGAGGCGGTGAAGGTCAAGAGGTCTCAGATCATCCAGACTGCGATGGGGGAGGAGTAAAGAG